AAGTGTCATCTACTCCTCTCTGACTAATCCTGTGTAATCACAGCTTCCTGCTGTCCGATTATCATGGTTTCCGCACCGATTATGTTTGACTATAATGGTGGAATTAGCCCGCGGGTCGCAGGTGAAGCTTTGTAACTGGTTTGTTTAAAGGGGAGTAAATGACAGCGTGGCTTTTATCCATCACAGGTTTCAAACAAGAGGCTCTTGTGAATATCATCTTCTGTCATTGGGAAGTTTGAGGGTTCGTGGTCGGTCACAGCTGTTTGAATATAAAGTGACATAAAATGTCTCTTTCTGAAACGATCTCTGAGGCCTAAGTGATATTTTTGGGGGGATATTTTCACCTTCATTGGAAGGCAAAGCAGACTAACTTTATGGTGATTTACAATTTATAAGCTAGCTGGGAGTCTGGAGTGCTGTGTTGGCTAAACATGACCCAAGACATACATGAGACCAGAGTGCTCCAAGACTGAGACTGAGACAAGACCAAGACCAAGAAAGACTGAGGCCGAGACAAGACCAAGAAAGACTGAGACCGGGTCAAGACCAAGACACTTAGGGATGGAGACAGGTCAAGACCAAGACCAAATATCTCTGAAAAATCATCACTAGGGGATAAAAATCAAACTACAAATACATACATACATGCATGAACTGTAGCGTGCCAGGGCCAAGGAAGTGTACCGAGCTTGAGCACAGATCGGAGCCCTCACACCGGGTCAAACGAACTGGTCTTTAGGGATGAAGCGTGCTTGAGTAAGGCACGGTACAGATTGCCTGGTCTAAGTGCGCCCTGAGTGAAGGTGAATTGTCTCAGGGTGTAAATATGTAAAATAACGCCATTGGATCTGCAGAGTCCCTCTGTACCTGCACAAGAAAAAGCTAAAGACCCAGCTCTTTCATGAATATCTACTAACTTAATGATGATGGTCTCCATATTATTGATGATGATGATGATGGTTGTCACGATTGTTTTTGTTTGATAACGATGACTTATAAGATGGTTTCTATACTGATTAGAGCTCTCAAGAACTGCCGTCAATGTTGTGCTTTGCCTCTGGTCACTTCCTGTCATCACCTGTGTGTCCAACATTGTTCCCTTTTTTCTAGATCCTTGCTTGTGTTGTTCTTACTCTCTGATGTATGTCGCTTTGGATAAAAGCGTCTGCTAAGTGAATTGTAGAATATGGCGCCTTGAAACGGCAGTCTGAACAGGTCTGTTGATATGAAGGTTCCCTAAAGTTTAGGTGTAGCTCTGAACCCTGACAGTTAAACTCTGACGCAGCATGAACATTACCAGGACTCTGAAACTGAAGCCCTGTCTTAATTGATTATTTACCAACTGAAGTGTCAAAATGTCTGCCGTTACTTCCATCTGGAGAATCAAGTCGAGTTTTATCACCATGCATGCCCGTTCAATAAACTTACCTTTAAGTGGATCATGTGCTGAGCTCTGTGGATCCTGACACTGATGTACGACAGGGACTGGGACTCTCATTAGATCCTGGACAGGTGCAAAATCATTTGGCCACAAGGAGGCCATTGGCAGACCTGAGACCAGCAGCAAGTTCTCCAAACAGTTCAGGTGCAGCTCTGTAATAAGCAGACCTGACACGACCAGTGCAGAGGTGTAACGACATGATATGAGAGTTATGAGATATGAGTTCAATTATATGCATCTGTTGGATTTTGAACAGGTGGTGGAATACCATAATATGAGAAATGAGTGAGCTGAAGCATGCCTCGATAAATTCCTCCAAACTTACAGATTTTCCTCCTCTCAAACTTTTCTCTCACTCTGTGACGGTGCAGAACGGTCGGCTATAAAAAATACTTAATGTTCTGTTTTTCATCATCATGTAGCTACATCTGAATTTATGGAGCGTGGTTTATTATCAATGTCTGCAGGCCATTTGATGCTCAATAAGTTTAATGAGATGAAAACTTTCTGTTGTGTTTTATTTTGAAATATGTCATTTTAACTCTTAAACAGTGAAATCCTACGGGCGGCTCTGTCAGCGTGCGTCTCTTCATGTGTTTAAGATTCAAAGGTAAACTAAAGACCATCTGTGGAAGATTAGCTGTGCATGTGTGTGTGTATTTGTCAACTGCTGATGGTAATAAAAAGTGACCGCAACCATAAAGTTGACCTCTGAACTCTGAAAGCAAAGCACAATATTTGTTTTATTATCTTGACAGGCCTTTTTAGTTTAAAACATTAGTGAACCCTTTGTGTTTCAGCTCATTTTTAATCCTGATTAAATTGCTGAATTTCAACAGTTAATCACGTTAAATCACATTTTTCATTGCATGTTTGAAAATCCTTTATTTTGCATCAAGAAACTGTTTTTGTGAGGCTTTTATTTTGAATATTTGTACTGTCTTAAGATTGATGATCCTTTACTTCCTGTTTGATTACAAACCTTCATTTATTTTAAAATAAAATAAGGAACTTCCTGTAGATCAAAGGTTATAACATTTACTAAACTACAGAAAATGGAACTCTAGGGATCGAACACGCAATGAAAATAACTAAAGAGGACTACAAAAGGTCGTTATTAATTTGACTTTTCATAGGGTTACCTACAGTGTGCATGAAGGGACAAAAAGCATGTGATTAAAACAATTATTAATTCATTAATTAGTGCAGTAATTCTGACCAACCTACTGTAAAGGCAGGGTTGGTCATTTTCCAAAAATAGCATGATTTAGAAAGTAGCATTCCTTCAGTGCTCCGTCTGCACCCAACATTTGGCCCTTTAAACATATTTAAGGGCCATGCATTTAAAAAAAAAAATAATAATAATAATTTATTAATGACCACAAAAGATTTTAATAACTTGAAGAGGTTTTCTTACAGCTCTGCAACACGACGTCGTTGATCCTCATTATAAATAAAGTTGTTCCAAACGAAAACAAGAAGAGAAACTTTGTGTGATTGACAAAACAGAAGGTCCTTTATTTATTTCAACAATAATAAAGGCACAAGGCAGACGTCTATCTGCTTTTATTTATTTTTAGTTCTGCAGCAAAAATGTGCAAGTCCTCTACATCTGTAGAAAACAACAAACTCCTAAACAAGCTCAGGGCGCCGTCTAGATCAGAAATGATTTGGCAAACAGTCGTAGGTCTGGCTTCACCGTCGGATATGTACCGTCCAAGCTGCTTCTCTTAATCTAATGTTCTGCACCTCCTGCCATGCCGTCTGCACTACTCCAAATGGATAACATTAAAATAATAATTTATAATAAAACAACAAGCGAGTGACGTCTATGAACAGGTTTATAATCCAGGACGGCCTCAGTCCTTTAGAAATGCAGCTGCATAACATTCACAGCACAGGCAGCAAATCATACAAATAAAACGGTATAAAAAAATAATCTCTTAAATAAAATCAAAGCAGAGACAACAGAGGCAGAAAAGGAATGTTGTTGTTCATGTATGTGCCATTTTAAACCCGACATATAGTGGTCTTTAAGGAAAGTATAGCGCCCACTTCCTGGAACTGGTCGTTGCTCTGAGTCACATTTTATAGTCCCTTATTGATGATGAATGTACATACAAGGAGAGTGGACCCGATGTGTTACTAAATAAAAACGCAAAGCGGAGGACTAAAAGGAATATTTAAGACATGAAATTCATTCAAAAGGGATTCCTGCAGTTTGTTGATCCGATACACCGTATTCTCACAGCGGCCATTTCTATTTAACATCCACTAAAATTGCTGTCAGGTTGCACATTTACAGAGTAGAGCGTCATCAGGTTTGCAAGATGCGTCTACGCTGCCGCCCTCTTGGAGAGGGCCAGCCGCGCCCCCTCAAAACTGTAAATCTTTAAGTGCTTTCACGCTTGCACAAAAATAAAAATAAAAACTCCTGGAGGTTTTTGGGTTTTAAATCCACCACGAGGCTGATTTGCCTAATCTATGCAGTACTACAGATGCAGATAGGACAGAAATACACATTAAGGACTCTTTTAGTTCTTTAAAGAAATCGGGAGACTATCCGGAGTAGACCTCCTGAAATTATCTGTAAATGTCAAGTGTGCAGATGTTAAACAGGTTCATGATGACAGTAGGTCTTAAAGATGACTATTGAGCTCGCTGTTTGGTGAAAATGGCTGCTGTGAGAACAAAGAGAGTCGACAAAAACCGGAGACTGTGAGACGTACAGTCCTTCAAGCTGTCACACATTCTAATACTGAAGTGACTGAAGGACGGTAAAGTTATATCTACATGATATCACAAGTGCAAATGAACAATTCTAATGTATTTACAAACAGCTAACACGGTCACTAAACTACTCTGAGGTTTAGTTTTTATATTCACTGGCCGTGAGGGACGTCAGCCTGCGTTTAGTGCAGATCCTCCAGTTACTTAAACAAACAAAAATAAAAACATGAAGACAAACAGTCCAAAAATAAAAGTGCTACAGTGACAACGATGATAAAGCGTCATTAAAAAAATGTCAAATAAAAAGATTCTGTTGAGAAGGTCGAAAGGAAACCTTTACAGGTGATATTTCACTTTGGTCATAGTTCAAAGGTCACATATTCTCCTCCTCTTCAACGCAGTGTAAATAAATCTCAGAGCTCCTCAAAACATGTGTGAAGTTTCTTGCTCTAAATCCACTCTGATCCTGTATTTGATCATGTCTATAAACCCCTCTATTTCAGACCTGCTCAGAACAGGCTGTTTATGTGTCTGTATCTTTAAATATGTAAATGAGCTGTGTCTGACCACGCCCCCTCTCTGGAAGGGCTTTGGTGTCTCGGTCTTTCTCGCTCCATGTCCTATTGTTTACAGTGAGAAGGCAGACTCAGAGGGCAGAACAAACACCTAGCTGTGGGAGTGTCACCCACCTGGGGGAGGGGCTACTGCCCTTTGTGATGTCATGAAGGGTAAATCTCCAAACGGCCTGTTTGAGCACACATTTTCTGAAAAGTGGAGCAGGCAGAAGACGGAGAGGATGGACTTTTCTCATGATTGGGGGGTTTGTAGACAGACTAGAGACACATATTAGTGTCGGCAGTAGATTTCCTGTTTTTTAAAATTCCTGTTAACTTTATAAAAACAAATTATTACAACTTCAATATCTGATCTCTGGAGGAATCTTTCCTGCAGATAACATTTTAAAATACACACAGCAGCTTTGAAAGTTTGTGCTCTCATTAATGACACTTGTGTGCAGATTGATTTTGGGGTTATTTCTGTAAATTTATAAGCAATGAACTTTAAGGCTACAGACAGGTGAAAAATTAAAGGAAAGATCTGAAACATGATCTCTGAAGGATGGCGAGTATTTCTTATCAAATGCCATGGCCTTACGGCGCTATTATCAAACTCAAGGTGCATTAAAACATCTCCTTCCTGACACACTTCTGGTGTCTGTTTCCTTTAATTCCTCTTTCTCTCCCAGACTTTCTGCTTCTCTGCGGCTCTCTGTTTTTCAGGTAGTACTTGTGTCTCGAACCAGCAGAAGCAGCAGCTGATGAGGTCACCTCATCTCTTTGAACAACTGAACAATTTGTTCCAGTCGACTCAAAGTTTGACCTTCATGTGTGCAAATAACCACGGAGATAACGCGGAGCAGAGATTTTGTTAAATGAGTCTGAATCATGTCGAGCCTTCTGCAGCGAGCCGGTCGATCACGCTCAGCTGATTTAAAAAAAAAGAAGAATCTAGTGTTGTTACCAGTTCTCTAATTGACAAGAGGTAAATTAGTTGATGAGTTTGGGAGAGATTAAAGACTTTTAAAAACATTTTCTAAACAAATCGAGATGGTGAAGTGAAGTCTAGTTCTGTAAGAGCGCTCGTTTCTGTAGCGACCGCTAGAGGAATGCTGACAACATGAGCCGTAAGTGAAATAAAACTGAACGGTTTCCTTTACTGGAGACCTGTGATCCATACTGTACCACAGAGTGTGCGTGTGTGTGTGTGTGTGTGTGGTAATGTGCCGTTTGGTTTGGGAACGCCTCCATGGGGTCGGGGCGCTGACAGGACGGGTCACAGACGAGGGCTCAGGAACACGGTCTGAATCGGGTCAGGTAGGCCGGAGTCAGATGGTGATGTAGTGTTGTCGCAGTTTGGCCACCAGGAACTCGTGGGTTAAATTATGTCTCGTGATGATCCCGACAATCTGGAAAAAAAGACGGTAAAAAAAAAAAGTTGGTTGACTAACAGATGTTAGTGACAGCGTGCGGAGCTGAAACTTTTTTATTTGGAGGTGAATCTTAATCAGAAAAATGGCCGAAAGAAAAAAACACAAATCATATTTAAGAAGTGGACATAACCTCCGAGTCTGAAGAGTAAAGCGAAGGCTGAAAGGCGTTTAACAAAATATCGGGGGCGTCTCCTGTCATGAAGGGGGAGGGGGATGCAGGTGTGGACCAGGGCGGGGTCTTACAGTTATCCAAGAGGATGGATGAGGAGAAAAACTAAAATAATCCTGAGCAAAAACAAACACGCTTCCTAAACTAAATAATGCACAGATAAGGAGGAACTTCGCCACAGAGCAGCTGACTTCTAACTAAATTGTCTATGAGACCCTGGCGTTTTTTTCTGAGCACCGGCGCCTTTTTTGCGCGGCTGCTCGGAACGTTCAAGATCAACTCTTCAGAAAGGCGCTGTTGACATCACCGGCGCTCTTTTCCAGATGTATGATATTCCCCGTAGATTTTGTGTCACATTGGGAAATAAACAATCTCAAATATAAAACATGCAGTAAAAAGTAAGGGAGCAGTGACGGTCATACAGCGGCCGTTAAAAAAAGGTGTAAAAGAGTAGAAACACATTTTGAAGTGTGTAAATGACATAGTTCGCGAAACAATCTGTAGCAGCAGCTGGTTAGCCATCTCTAGCTTACCCCTCGGTTTACTTTAGCTCCACCCACTTCTCCAAATATCATCTCTTCTTGTCCAAAATAACCCAAGATGGTAGCCGCAAAAACTGAACTAAAGGATGACATCATCATGGTGGCTTCATACACGTCTTATCTTCAGAACACACTCGTCTCGTAGGATCTTAAAACTCCCTCCTTCCTTATTTCCACGAGTACTCACCTCTCCGACTGCATTGACCACGGGTAAATGTCTCAGGCCCATGGTCCTGAACAGGTTGAACACCTGGGAGATGCGGGTGTTTGGTGACACTGTGTACGGACACGGGTTCATGTAGGGTGTGACGTCCTGGAGGAAAAAGGAAACAAGGTGGAATACTAGTCTGCAAACTCAAAAAAAAAAGTGTTCCACGGCTGATCGTGCCATGAATGTTGCAAATCTAGAAACTTCTATCTGCCTCGTCTGCAGCTGAGCTCAATCTCTGACAGCTGAGCATCAGATTATCAATGAGGCTAAATGTTCTTTTAAATAAATATCAGTTGACATAAATACACCTGGCATGACGATGCTTTTGTTATCATCACCTAAAAGTGGAGTTTGTAAATACGACTGTTGTTTTAATCAAGGCTTTTCCACACAGAGAGGAAGCAGATACTGCACAAAGCATGCATGTTGTAAAATGTAAAAATGTGCAAACACCACAGGAGCTGATTCACTGTTTGCTCAGCGGGACAGTAAGAGTTGCCATCTCATCCTCTGGGGATATGGTTCGTCTAATTTGTGCAGATTAAAGTGGACAGAAAAGATGCACGGTGAGTCCATCTGTTTGTGTTGAAAATGGGTCGTACCACTATCATGCGGGGGTTTAGCAAGGCGAGGTCCAAGTCGTGGATGTCAGGGTATCGTGGGTAATCTTCTGTCATCTCTGCGAAGGACAGCCTGGGCTGAGTGGCGCTCTGTGGAGGACGATGTGCAGAGAGATTCAGTTAGACTGACGGGAAACATTTATGCAAAAAAGTACTTAAAGGTGCGTTTCTTTGTTTGTTTGAATCGATTTGAGACATGACCCTGCAGAGTGAAGATATTTTATCAGTCACATCTTCAAAGTTTAAGAAACAGTGTGGAGTAAGTTTTGGTTAAGATTAGAATCAGGTTGAAGGTTCATGCAATCATGTCAAGAGGGTCCTCACAAAGGTATAAGAAGTGTTTTTGGGAGTGTGTGAGTGAGTGACAGACCGACTGGCTCTCGGTGTAGCAGACGCCTCTGATGAGCAGGTTGACGAGCTGCGAGCGCAGGATGAGGCCGTGGAAGGTGAGGGGTCTGAAGCGCTCCTCCATGGTCCACTCCTCGCTGGGGGACTGGTCCGGGCACAGGTTTGGATAGGGAGCGTGTCTGCAGGTGGACAGTTTAACAGTCAACTATAGGACTACCACTCTTTTTGAACAACGACTACACACTATTTATTTTAGATCCGCTTTGTCCCACTAGAGGACGTTTGTTTTGCAGCAGGAGAACACAGAAGACAACATCAGCAGTGAAAACAGACTCAAATGAAAATAAACTTTGAAGTCTGTGAATATGTCTGTGTATAAATGTGTCTTCTATAATATAATAATAATAATAATAATATCCTGAATTCATAAAAGCGGTTTTCAAGGGGCCAAAGGAAGCTTTACGTCAGCATACACAAACAAATCAACGGATACTTAAAGCTGATGCAGAGTCTGTGCTGCTCTCTACTGGAGGCTGATATGCATCACATGTCTTTATTCCCATGAGGTTCTTTGATTTGAATGAAGCATGAAAACTTTATGTTTTAAATCTGTGATTTCGGTAATTGTTATTATTTTTATTTTATTAGTCTGATTTTGTTGTCTGCTTGTTTACGCTCTGCCTGTTGCTTTAATTGTCTCTCTGCTTTTATTTTCTGTTGTAAAGCACTTTGTTACTTGTATAGAAAAGTGCTATAGAAATAAAGTATTATTATTATTATTATATTATTAAACAACAAATCTCTAAGATAAATCGCTGAAAAAGTGAACTGTAACAAATGTTTTTTCTTGAACTAAACCTCATTATATGCATGCATAAAATAAGTGCAAATCATTTAAATGAATGAAACCTTTATTGCCCCGAGGGGAAGAAGCCTTGCACAACCTCACAGCACAGCACATAAAAAACAAATCCACAAACTGATCGCTAAAGCAAGCTGTGCCAAGTTGTTCCTCTCTTAACAGAGCTTGTTGAGAAGATGAACGCTGCTCGTGTGTGTATGTGTGTGTGTGTGTGTGTGTGTGTGTATGTGTGTATGTGTGTCTCACCTCCTCTCTAACATCTGCTGCAGCAGGTCTTCGCCCTCCTCTGCCGGCTCTGCAGCAGCGTTCTGCTCGTCACAAACGTTTCTCAGCTCGCTGGACGGGTACGACTTCATGGACTGACAGCGCCGCCGCTGTTCTCCTGCGCGGGACATCACGCTGGATTTCTACAAACAACGACGGCAGACATATTAGAAATGAGAAAAAACACAAATATTAAACTTTAGGATTCATTTCTTACTTTCTGTCAAAAAATTAACCAATGTAAAAAAGTGATTGTTATAAACCTCCTGCAGACACTACACTCAAACCTATACCGCCATCTTGGATACAATAGGTCCAGTAGGTGGCGCTGTACTGCGTGCTTTGTTTTCAGTGTTGCAGGATGTGAAGAGAAAGAAGTTCAAATTCTCTGAAGCCCTTCTGAACATGAGTCTGAGCTTTGAAAATGTGTGTTTTGATTTCTGAGGACAAACCTTGAATCTGATGTTGTTGCTGACCAGGATGTTTCCCTTCATGAAGTCTCGCTCGTTCTGCCGGTTCTCAGTGACCACGGGGAAGGCGTGGTAGATGGTGGTCCGCAGGATGCTGACCAAAGACTGGACCCGGGTGTGGGGGTACACGTAGGTCAGGTTTGTCTCCATGATGTCGCTGGCTGTCAGCCTTGAGAAACAATACAACAAATAATGTTGAACACCCAGATTGATCAGAGAAACTTGAAAAGCTTCATTGCCGTTCCCACTCTTACTTGTCCATCTCGACCTCCGTCTCCCACTCCAGCAGGGGAACTCCTCTCAGCTGGATGTGGATGTCATAGATCCCCTTATTGAAGAAATCTCCGGTCCACTTTGCAACCTGATGATCAACACAAAAGCCTTTCAAAACTTAAACTGAACAAACAACATCTCACTTTATCAAACTCACTCTAAACCAATCAGACTCATTCCTGCAAACTGAAGACATGAAATGATTTGTATAAATATGTTTAATGTTACCATTAGAGTAATCATGATAGGCAGCCCGTATGTGATCTCATTGGTGGATTCAATGAGGATGACGGTCAGACTGATGGTCATTCTGACCACGCCCCCTAGGAAGGAGGCGGCTCCGATGAGGGCGAAGGTCCCGGCGTAGATGTCCATCCCCAGTTTCCTACCAGAGGAAACACACACACACACACACACACAGTGAGGACCAGTATCACTCCAGTCCGAGCGGTGGGAGGAGGCGGAGCTGAAAAGAACGTGTATATGAAGGGGACAAAGACTTGAGTCAACAGACTGTTTCTGATGCAGTTTTGTGTTGACAGACATTACTGTCAGCTGAGAGGAGCTCAAAGCCTGGAGGAGAAAACCGTCCAGTCAGCAGACGTGGATGGACGGACTGGTGTGGACCTGCAGCACCAGAAGGGATCCTACTGCAGGCTCCTCCTTTTCTCCACCTTTTCAAACAGTCCCCTGTGGTCTAAATGAAACATCTGTGCTGTGCTTTGGTCAAAATATAACGTGAATCAAGCACCAGAGGAGGTTTGTGACCCTGTATAAACCAGCTCTATCAGAACGCTCCGTTTTGGTGTGTGTGTCTCTTTAAATGCAATGAGCCACACATTTTTTTTCTCTAACTAATTTTTCATTTATTTATTTTTTTTTTTTCTCACTACACCCCACTAAGTTCCGCACTTTAATGCATCATGCTGTCACGAACACATTCACACCTTTCTAACACACTAACTGAACATAAAAATCATTGCTTGACTTTCATCTCATTTGAATGTATTTGTCTGCATTGTTGCTTTGAATCTTTGCTTATGTTTTGCTATTTTCGGTCTATTTTGTCTGTTGTATTTTTATTTTATTTTATTTTATTTTATTTTATTTTATCTATTTTATTTTTTGTCTTTGTGTATTTGTTCTCGCTTTAGTTGTCATGTCTGTTATGTCTATATATTCTTGTTTTGTTCACCTTATCACCAATATAAAAAAAAAAAAAAAAGAAAAAAAAAAGATGAGCAGAAAACGAGTCTTACACTTTGAGGATGTTGGCGACCAGACGTCCAAAGGCGGCCCCGCAGAGCAGAGAGGGGACGAACAGGCCGCTGGGAACAGACACACCATAGGTCCAACACGCCAACAGGAAGTAGAGCAGGAAGAAGACGGACAGAGTCACAGGGCTGAAGTTACCTGACGGGAAGAACGAGAGGATGTGTCGTTTCAGGGCAGTCGAAAGGTCTCATGATTCCTCCTGAGAGGACTCTTACAGAAAGCGTAATGACTCTAATGTGCAGGAAATGAAATTTAACTTGTTCATCATGTGTGTTTGTGCTTGTCTCACCGTCCTGGTGGAAGAGCTGGTGGATCGCAGCCTCCTGCGGGTTGAAGAACAGCGTGGCCATGTCGTTGTACGTCTTGTTGGTGCAGAAGAACTGGCGGATGGTCGAGTTGATGTCTTCAACGCCTGACAGCTGAAAGAAAGCTCGAGATTTAATACGAGATAAACAAACAAGAGTCTTTTTTTTTTTTTATATATTTATTTTGGGGGGCTTTTTGTGCCTTTAATGGAGAGATAGGACAGTGGATAGAGCTGGAAATCAGGGAGAGAGAGAGTGGGGAATGACATGCGTGAAAGGAGCCACAGGCTGGATTTGATCCTGGACGGCCAGCTTGGAGGACTACAGCCTCTGTACATGGGGCGCGCGCACTAACCACTGCGCCACCAGCGCACCAACAGTCTGAATGTGGAGAGGATCTGGCAGAAGTTCAGCTCTACTTAAGAATATTAAAGACACATTTTTTGCCTGTAGCTTTTGAACCTCAGGTCTCAGACGTAAATGTTTGCATCTACAGTATTAACCGGTTGCTATGGTTACAGATCATAAATCATTAAAATAAGCTCCACTTGTTTGCAACTCAACAGATTATCTGCCATTTTTTAAAATTTTGTCCAACACTACTTCAAAAGGAGAAGGGAGAAGAATATTGGAGAAAATGGGATTCATACAAAGATAAAGACTCGTAAATATATCTTTTTTCATTACAATGTACCATCCATTATGTACTGTACCTGTGCCTTTTACATTCTTGTATTTGATCTTATTCATACTGTCTTGCCCTAGTCCTCACTTGTTCTGTGTTTCTAGTAAAACAAAAATGAAAAATAAAGTATAAAAAATATATATATATTTTGTCCAACACTGTTTTTAGCGACTCCTTTTGAACATTTCTCTCAATGAAAGCAAAAAAAAAAAAGTGTGATGCTCACTGTGCTGTTATGGGTCGTCGGTGTGGACAGGTCACGACACTCGCCCAACAACAGGGACGCTGCAAATATCACCATTGTTGTCACCATGGAAACAAGCAGACACTCTAGGACCCTGGAACAAACGCAGGAATCAAATCAACGTCTGGATCACACGTTTCCAAAAAAAACTTAAAGCCGCCTTTAATGGACAGGTAGAACTCACCTGATGAACTTGGCCTTGGGGTGAATGTGTTTGATTCGATACTTGGACAGACTCTTGTTTAAGCAGTTGAAGAGCGCCCCCAGCAGGCCACCCACCACCCCCATCAGGACAAAGAAGGCCAGGTCCACCACCGTCCACAGGTGGCAGTTCTTATCTCCATCGGAGCACTGCTCAGAGTTTCATCAAATCAAATCAAATATGTCATAAGGAATAAATGAAAACTTCTACCTAAACAAGACTGAATAAACTTTTTACCTTGAACTCTCCGAAGTTGAGCAAACCGGGCAGCTGGAAGGAGCCCCACTTGTTGAAGTTGATCCCCGAACGGAAGAAGTTGAGAGTGAAAGTCGCCGACATGGAGCAGAAGAGCTGAAAGAGAAGAAGAAGAAGAAGACTCAGGCTGTGTTTATGTACTTGTATCTGAAGAGTCTTCATAGGGCGGTGATGGCCTAGAGGTCAGGTCGCGCTCAATGTGAGGACGTCAAGGTTCAAGTCCGACCTGTGGCTCCTTTCCCGCATGTCAATCCCCACTCCCTGTCTCCTGCTTTCCTACTCTATCCACCGTCCAATTCTAACCATCCATCCATTTTACAACTTATCCAAAGTCGGGTCTCAGTGGTAGCAGGTGAAGTTAGTCAGGCCAGATTTCCCTCTCCCGATCAACATTATCCAGCTCCCAGGTCAGACAGGATATATAATCCCTCCTCAAGCTCTGGGATACCATTGGGACTCCTCCCAGTTAGGCATGCTAGGAATGGAAGGATCCTAATCAGATGCTCCAAACTACCTCAACTGGCTCCTTTTCGATAGCAATAGCAGTTTTATTTATATAGCACATTTCATTACAGATAAACTCAATGGGCTTTACATTGAGGTTAAAAACAAAATCAAAACACAGCATACAAAAGAAAGTGTTTCCACAGTCATCAATAAGACACAGAGATCTAATCAATAAATTCATACACACGAAAGCAAAGCAAACATCAGTTACCACAAAAGTGATCATACATACACACACACACACAAAAAAAATATCTATTCATATGCTTTCGGGAACAGATAGGTTTTGAGTTTTGTTTTAAAAGTAGAAACAGTAGTGATGGACCTCAGGTCAGCAGGGAGTATGTTCCATAGAAAAGGACGATGTGAAGGAGTTGCGGCTCTACTCCCCAAATATCTGAGCTCCTCCCCCTCTCTCTAGACCAGACACCCTCCAGAGGAAGCTCATTTTGACCGCTTGTGTCTGCGATCTCGTTCTTTCTTTCACTACTCAAAGCTCTTGATCACGGGTGAGGGTCGGAACGAAGATCGACCGGTAAATCGAGAGCTTTGCCTTCAGGTTCAGGTCCCTCTTCATCACAAGTGTTCAGTAAAACGCCCGCAATACTGTCGATAGAGAATCTGTCTGTCAATCTCACTCTGCATCCTACCCTCTCTGGTGAACAAGACCCCGAGAGACTTCAACTCCTTCACTTAGGGCAAAGACTCACTACACCCTAACTGTCCAAAGAAAGTCTTCTAACCAACTAGATTCTCGTTGTGGAGAACAAGAACAATTCTCAAAACAATCTATCAATTAGTTGCTTTGATCTTAAAGCTTCAAAGTGAGCAGAAAGAGCAGAAACATCTCGTCCCTCTTGCTGTCCATTAGATAAGGTGACGTACCACTTTCCAGGTGAGCGCCTGGTTCCAGAACGACGAGCCCTCCTCCAGACTGAAGAGGGTTCCTCCTATAGGAGCTCCAAAGGCGGCAGCGACTCCGGCAGCAGCGCCCGCCGACACAAAGTCCCGCTTGTCCCTGTAAAAAAAAAAAAAAAAAACAGTGACGACACACGATGAGTGAGCTCGACTGTATCCGTCTCCAACAAAATCTGACTCTCTCAGGTTGAGCCACAGATTTACCTGTCGCTGCGGAAGTACGGGAAATCAAACCGGATCCTCTTGAAAGTGATGCTCTGAAACTGAAACAGGGAGAAGAAACATCTGCTGAGAACACAGAAGCCATGATAAGGAAACGCTTTTAATTAGGACCATTTACTGAGCTGCAATCATTAAACACGCTCCAGTGGACGGGAGAAAAGTTCACTTTGTCATTAACTGATTAATAAGGGGTTTAAACTAATGTGTAAGCCGAAGGGGCATTTAGTTAAGGAGGTCCGATTTGATAGGACAGACTCAGGAAGAGACGGGGCAGAGGGAGACCTCACTGAACCCGCTTTATTTCAGGAAGACATCGCGTTCCAGCAAGTTCATGGAGTCTTTAAATGCTGACAACACAAAACGAGTGCTGCATTCAGGAAACACGACCACGAGGTCACATGAGAGGCCGACTGTAACCTCTACAGGACGGATGGGCAGCTTTGGAAACAGCAAGGGCCATATTCGTTTAATTCTCACCGCCAGGGGGCCAAATTGTAGGATACAAAAACGATAACAGTCAATTATGTCTCAAATTTAACTCAACATATACCAGTGATCAAATATTATTATTGACATATTTCTTGTTTTCATGATTTCATGGCAGATTTTGTCATGTTTTCTTCATGTTTCCAATTAATTGATATGTAGAAATTGACTTGAAGGCCACGTTGAGGGTTGATGGGGGGCCGCATGTTGCCCACCCCTGAAGGTGAGTTTAAAGTTAGCTTTACATCAAACACACATTACTGTGATTTATGTGCTGTGATCAGATATCCTTCATTGGTCATTATTTCATTAAGGTGTGCAGTACGACATGAAGTTTAAAAAGAGTGTCATAGTGAAAGAAAAAGCCAAAGATGATCAGAAGCAACATTGTCCTTCTCTCTTTATCTCTGATGAAGCCCACAGTGTGCTGGACAAAGTCAGACATCTGATTCATATTATCAGGAATGACTTAAGTGATGATGAGGATGATGTGCAGCGTCAGTGCTTTAAACTGTACGCTCAAGCTAACATCCTGGCACTCAAATATCTAATGTGCATGGACACCATGTTCGCAGCTTTTCAGAGCTCACTGTGCTCCGCTACAGTAGAGCAGTGAAGGTGTTCAGGTGTGTTGTGTTGTACCTGAGGAAGACCAGCTCCCACGATGGCTCCACTGTGAATCATCGGACCTTCTTTCCCCACAAACAGACCTGAGAGGACGCACGCACACGCGCGCACACACACACACACACACAGTCAGCAGGTGGACGTCCTGACTCACCCACCTCACAATCCCAGAAAGATTTGTGGCTGGTTTGCATTTTAGTGTCCATGTAAATAAGTAACAAAACAGGCTTTTTAGAATGGGTTTGTTTGTGACTTCCTGTGCTTCTGCAGCCAGCCTCTAGTGGACACTCCAGGAACTGCAAGATATTGCATTGCCTTCATTTTCAACACCGGAGGTCGCCGCTTGGTATTACACAACTTACCGCTGATTATAATGCACAGTAATACATGAATAAATATTCTTCTTCTTCTTAGTTATTTCTAATTAAGCACATTTTCCTTTTTTGGTTATTTTAATGGATGTGTTGCTACGAAATGTATAAAAATGGTTTGAGTAAAAATGTCAGCTGTCAGTCTTTTCTGTTGTGAGTCCTTTGTGTCTGTATTTTACCTCCGGCCACACTGAACAGGACTCCAGAAGCTTTGCAGAGAAACGTTCTTAGCCGGACGATTCCGGGAATCTTTACTCCGTTCAGGTAGCTTTTGATTTCTGGGATCCCCGAACCTGCTGCTACGGGCTGAAGTCAAGACAAGAAAAGCTCTCATATGTTAGCATTACGTCGCGAGTCTACAGGTTGGTGTCACAAAATCCTTTGAGTTTCTTAAAAACACAAAACAGAAGAATCTATCGACACAGAGTGGGAAATTGATTCAAAGTACTCAAGACTATATTTTTTTGGAAGAGTTTCTGGAAGAATCCACAGATTTACAAATCGACAGAAAATGAAATAAACCAGAATGATCTCAAGCGTCTTACCTCGATGAGGACGAGCACACTGGCGATGAAGATGAAGGTCATGTTGATGGACAGGAGCTCCAGCAGAGACAGAGCGAGGCAGCCTTTATCTGTGCACTTCTCCACAGCTGGAGGCGTTTCATTACGGTGACATAACCAGCAACCCTGTAGATTACCCTGTTTATGTTTCATCTAATTAACCTGCAGTGTCAGCGTTACATTAAATTATGAGTCACTCTTGTCCTTACAGAGGAAACTGTACTTAAACTTGTTTTTATAAAATGTTTAAAGGTGTAATGAATGTGTCTTTAAGTGTCTCGTTCGTCTGTAGATCTCTGATGTGAGAGTGACTTCCTCTCTGTCATATTGAGTCGTCTGCATGTTGAAGGATACAATCAGCCACCAAAGACAACTTGATTTTGGTGAAGAGACGAACGAAGAAATCCACAAACAAGCCCACCTGAAAGAGACGTGCAGGTCACATCAGAACCAAAGATAGAAAGGTAAATGAGTGAATTCATCAAAAGATTGAAAGAATACGAGGTAGCCTAGCGGTTAGCTCCCATGTACAGAGGCTTAAATCCTAGAGAGGACACGGCCTGGGTTTGAACCCAACCTGTGGCTCCTTTCTCGCATGTCGTTCCCCATTCTCTCTCTCTATCCACTGTCCTATCTCTAAAATAAAGGCATCAAAAGCCCAAAAATAATTCAAAGAATACTCCAGAGAGTGTTTTTGCAGCTTAGACAGTGAGCAGGAGTTTGACTGGAAACAAAGAATTACACAACACTTGTTTGCTTGGACTTCTTTTTTGTTGACCTGACATCGAAACAGGTCATGCTATCATTTGATCTTTTACTAGAATCATACCAACATTTACAATTCTGTGCAGGAATGATCAAAAAATAATAACCAGAGACTTCAAAGGTTTCCTGTTTGCAGTTTGTTAAATATATTTTCTTCTCTATTTAACAGAAAATGTTGTGAAGTCTGAAATATCTCAAATGACACCTACCAGGCCGACTGTGACGCCGATAGCAAACACCATCAGCCACCGCACCGCTTCATACTTTCTGGCTTTCTGTTGGAACACAGAGGGGGAAAAACATTCACTGAGAATTTAGACAAATGAAAATTAACTTTTTTTTGTTTTTATAACTTTTTAATCAGAGCTGAGTTAAGTGACTGTTCGACTTTTATCAACCATTTTTCATTCAGTCCAAACAAAAGGACTGAGTTTTCCTTAACACTGATTCAAAGTGATAAAAAACTAAACTTATTTCATAACTAGTTGAGAACCACGATCTAAAGTAATTTCTAGAAACTAGTTAAACTGATCTAATGCAACATTAATTATGTAATAAATTAAAAGGTCAGTGAATAGACCCCTGTGGAACACCAGGTTTAATAGTTAAAGGAGCTGAGGTCAAACTTAAGTGGGGAAATCCCTTAAAGTAATCTTCAGGGGGACGCTGGTAGTGTAGTGGTTTGTGCGAGCGCCCCGGGTTCAAATCTGACCTGTGGCTCCTTTCCTGCATGTCACTCCCCGCTCTCTCTCTCCCTGATTTCTGACTCTATCCACTGTCCCATCTCTACAATAAAGGCACAAAAATCCCCAAAATAAAATCTTTAAAAAAATGGTATCTTCAGGGACACTGCAGTATATAGAGTACATCTCGACTCTGCAGGTTCCTCCAGTCTGCATGGTCTTCAAACATGTTATCCACCCTTTAAACGTATCTTACCTTGTTGTCCATCCCCTCCAGAACCTCCACATAGGGCTCGTTGATGCAGCGGTCATAATCCAAACTCTGTAAAAGCCAAAATAAACACAGTGTTACTATCGCCAAGGTCACACATCAGACGGTTGCAATGCGTGCCCCAGATGGCATGAAAACATCGACAGTGACCTTCTCTACATGTTTGTTTTCTGCCCCACACGTTTCTCACCTCGTAGTCTTTTCTGGGTAGGATCTCATCTTCTTCTTCGCGGATCTCTCCCAGGATTGTCTTTGAGGACAGACACATCCAGCAAAGCAGAGTTAACCAGGAATTAAACTTCGAGTCAATACCAGCATTTAAATTAAATAACAAAGAGGAAGGCTTTTGAGGTCATTTAAGGTAAAGTAGTGTAAGTATTGTTGTCCTTTTAACCTAGCTGCAAAATTTTACAATCCTAATTTAAAATTGGGCCAACTGATTATCTACTTAGCAACACCTTCTAATTCAATCAAACAGAGTCTGATGGACGTGGACCGGGTATAAAGGGTTATTATTTTAGTTTAAAGGGGACATATTATGACAAATCCACTTCTGCAGTGTTTTTGAACATTTATCTGGGTAACCTGAGTGTCTACTGACCCACAAAATATTAAATAAACCCACCCAGTCCTTTGTTTGTGGTCTGCATAAGTCTTACAACACAGAAAAAAAACGCTCTGTTTCAAATGTGCTCTCCTTGTGATGTCACAGTGGGATTCTGGTAAAAAAAAAATACCCTAACCGCCCCTGGTATTGCATTTAAAGAGACACACACACCAAAACGGAGCGTTCTGAGAGAGCTGGTTTATACAGGGTCACAAACCTCCTCTGGTGCTTGATTCATGTTATATTTTGACCAAAGCACAGCACAGATGTTTCATCTAGACCACAGGGGGACTGTTTGAAAAGGTGGAGGAGGGGGGGAATATGTCCTCTTTAAAGGGTTTGGGATCAATCACAAAGACAAGAAAAGTTAACTTTGCAAACCGGATGAAAGAGGGGGTTGTGATACAACATAAAAATACAAATATTGTTGAAAATAGTGAAATAACACCAATTAAGACAGGGGAAGTCTTAATTGGCAAGATTTTTAGACGGAGTTCGGTTTGAGGTCTTGAGCTCTTGAGCTTAAAGAAACACAGAAAGTAATATCCCCCTTGTGCAAAGTTACGGTGTAAGTATCATTGTTCTTTTAGTCCAGTTGCCACCTTTGCAGAATGAATGAATTGTAAGTTATTGCAGAAGATATGAAACAGAGTAGGGTCAGTGAGCAGCAGCAGGGTGGAGCGAGCAAAGCTGGACCTGTGCTCCGAGCAAAGTCCAGGAGAGACTCTGACTCAAACTAAAACCTGCAAGAGACCCCCACTTTCCCCCAGGTACCATAAATTAATTTACCAGTTCCTCCGGTGTCCGCGTCTCTCCTTCTCGGCAGCAACATTGGCAACAAAAACAGTTTCCACAACACGCCATCTTCGTTGTTGTGTCATGCTGTGTTCAGGGCCCGTGGTAAAACCGCCAAATAGAAGACATAAACGGCAAAATTTGTTAACGAATTTCCAGGAACCCATTTAAAAGCAGGTGAAACATTATAGTTTATATAAACTAAGATGTCCAAACTGTATCCATGTACTGACATTTATTTCCCCAATTCATATCGTTACTTTTGTTAGAATTAGTCATATTTCGCATGACATCTGAACGCAGCATGAGCGGCACTCACAGGGTCATGTGACGACAAAGAGCGTCAAAACTGCTTCTTATTTACGCATAAATAAGCCCGTATTATTCACAAAAGGTGAGAACAAACTCCTTAAACAAGCATAAATTGGTATACAAACAAAACTTTGTCATAATACATGATGATTTTATTTATTTAACAGATCTTTGTGAATAATATTTTTAATTTTTCGTCATGATTTCGTTAATAACATTTTCTTTCTCGTCAAAAGTCAGTCACAAGTTGAAGAAAATATTAAAATAATACGTTAATAAGATAATAATTTGTTGTTTTAATGAATACAATTATGACGCATTTATGATTCTCCGAAAAACTACACTGAGATATTTGATGCTGCATTCAATGCATATTGAAAGGCAGTAAATTCAGCAATCTGCGTACTTTTAACTTCAACAAAATAATTACAATAACCTTTGTTATTATTTCAAATAATTACCACCTTTTCTTTACAATAATCGTGTGATGACCTCGTTTGAATCACCCCATTACTGTATTTTGGATAAATTAATATATTCCCGATTAACATAGGCAAATACGATCAATGAGCAGCAAAAACGAGTTACACTTTGTATTAGGTGGCGAATTACCTAAAGTAATATTATTTGAGTTGGTAATGTTTATCTAAATGTCAGATTCTGAGTCGGGTTTATGGGAGAACAAAGAATTAAAATAGTTTAACGACGACTTCAAGAACCGGCACGAACGATGTGGGCAGCCGTCTGTTTTCTGTTTTCGTGTTTTCCGGGCGGCCCTGAACGCAGCACAGTGTGGACGGGCTCTCCGTTGTGATCATAGATTGTAATTCCCACGCTGCAGCCGCTGTTTTGTCCTGGATAGAAGACAGTCTGGCTCCACAAAGACAACCAGCTGGAGGAGGTGGGAGAGGCGATGTTTCATTTACGTTAACCGGCGTCAACACAAACGCACCTGTGTTTAACTTAACGGATCTTAAATGACTTTATCTGTTAGTTTTTCACAACCAATGGGCTAGCATCGCTCGTGTAGCCTGAGGGAGCTACCACTAACATACATCGGTGTTGATGAAACTTTCTCCACGGTCGTAATCCTCCTCCGTGCACCACAGATCTGACCTTCCTGACATGCACACTCATTTTGTTTCCTGTCCTCTTTGTCCTCCTCCCAGTATAATCTGCCATCATGGTGAACCACGTTCAGCGAGTGGACGGCAGCTGGCAGGCGTGCAAGAGCGACTCAAGCGGGGCCAGCAACAGCGGCGGGGAGAGCTCCAAGGAGAGCTCCCGGTGCTCCACGCCGGTGCTGGATGCAGACCGGTCGGACAGGCTGCGGGACAAGATGCGCAGGAGGATCGAGTCCGGGGACTGCTGGTTCTCTCTGGAATTCTTTCCTCCCCGCACAGCCAGTGGAGCAGTCAACCTCATCTCCAGGCAAGTGCAGTCAAACCAGACTTAAGTGGAATATTTAGTCCAAGAAGAGATGAGAGTAAAGCCCCCCCCCCCCCCCCCCCATGCATGCTCAAAAGACTTAGTGTAAAGTTGTGAGGCAGCCTGGTTCAACAATGCTATCCCAGTTGTTCTGAGAGGCTTTTCTGAATCCCTTCAGCCAAACTTTAGTGGGCTTTTTTTTATTTTTTATTTTATAATTCCCCTTTAATCATTTATGAAACATCTCTTTTAGATTTGACCGTATGGGCTCCGGAGGGCCCCTATTCATAGACATCACCTGGCACCCAGCAGGGGACCCGGGCTCGGATAAAGAAACCTCGTCCATGATGATCGCCAGCACCGCCGTCAACTACTGTGGCCTGGAGAGCATCCTGCACCTCACCTGCTGCAACCAGACCCGAGAGAAGATCACCGGCTACCTGGCCAAAGCGAAACACCTGGGACTCAAGAACATCATGGCGCTGAGGGGAGGTAGGGGACAAGTTTGCATTCTGTATGACTTGATGAGGACCACTCTATTACTCCATATTACTATTTAATATCTTTATTTTTATAGCACCTTTTAAAAACAAATGTTTACAAAGTGCTGCGACAGACAGAGCAAATACAGCAAAACAACAACAGAACAGAGGTCAACAGAGAGGGCAAAATTGTAAAAATGCAAATAACAGGAATGATATAGAGTCAACAGGCAGGTATGGAGAGGCAGTTCAATACATTGAAGGAAAATGAGTTTAAAATCTACCAGGAGAGAACAAAATTAAAATTGAGGGAGAGTGGGACGACATCACATCACAGGCTGTAAACACAGAATGAAGATAAAAAGAAGGGATAAACGGGACATTGGTTAAATGAATAAAGCAACAGAGAGCTTAAGAGTTAAACGATAAAAGGAGGAGGAATTTAAAAAAGACTAAGAGCAGTAAAATGAATACAGGAAGGGATACAGTTAAAGGCTAAAACATTTAAAGAAGAGAAAGATAAAAAGGTTAAAATCAATAAAAGGAAGGGATAGACCTTTAAAGGAGAAATCACATAAAAGCAAGTCTATAGAAGTGAGTTTTAAGAAGTGATTTAAAAGATGCCACTGACTCTGCCTGCCTTATCTCCTCCTTCCTTTATAATAGACCGAGCGGAGCACTCACACTGGTCAAACTAACTGGACTTTGGAGGTCAAACTTGCTTGGGCGCCGATTGACTAGTGTTCTGACTGATGATCTAATAAAATATTTTTGATCAATACAGATTATTTTACTCGGTCACCATGATGCTCTGACCACATTTCTTGAAGAATGACTGAACCATTTCCTAAAGCGTTTAAAAAATAAAGTACAGGAACTTTTCTGGCTTCTATAAACTAAAACCACTCAGTTTCAAAAACCTGGATCAGTTTTTCGATGGTAAAATGATTCCACATCAGACCTGGAGTTAATTATCCTTCAATATATCATGTTGTGATGTTTCTGCAGACCCGGTGGGAGCAGACTGGGAAGAAGAGGAGGGCGGCTTCAACTACGCCATCGACCTGGTGAAACACATCCGATCAGAGTTCGATGACTACTTTGACATCTGTGTTGCAGGTTTGTTTTTCTGCCTCCTCGTCGGTAAAAGTAGAGCAGGATTTAAAGCTTCAGTCAGCGATATAAACGTTTGAACATGTTGTTGTTGTTTTTTTTTACCAGGATACCCGACAGGCCACCCCGAGGCAGAGAGCTACGAGGACGATCTCCGACACCTGAAGGAGAAGGTGGACGCCGGAGCAGACTTCGTCATCACTCAGCTCTTCTTCAGAGTCGACACCTTTCTGAAGTTTCTGGACGACTGCAGAGCGATCGGTATAACGTGTCCCATCCTACCTGGGATCTTCCCCATTCAGGTAAAACTCACATTCTAGATGCCAAATCGGTATCTGCAGGCAATCCGTCAATCTGTAACCGCCAAGGAATATATGTTATATCTTTTAAGTAATTTCTAACAGCTGGACTTAAACTCATCTGTAGGAAGTTAATGTTTCCATATTCCTGCTAAAATCAATCTAAAGGAACAACAAAAAACTAAAGCCTTCAATCTTCATGCAACAGAAAGTTAAGTCTTCTGCATCATTAAGTTTTATGATTATTGATGTTGTCATTATGATCCTTTAAAATCCGGCCTTCCCTTTGCCACAGACACCCCCCCCCAGACTACTCAGGGGTCCGTGTCTTTGGCTAGCCCATGGCAACTCTTGTAAAATCATCATTATAGTCATAGTCAAGTGGCAACCTTCAGTGTTTAAAAGTGAAGCCGATGCTGAAGTGAAAAAATCCTGCAGTTCCTGGAGTGTCCACTAGAGGCTGGCTGCAGAAGCACATGAAGTCACATACACACCCATTCTAAAAAGCTTGTTTTTACAGCAGAGATTAACATGTTTACAGCCTGGTTCAAAACACAAAACAGGTGTGATTAGCTCATGTCTCGATCGACACACACTGTACGGGGGATGAATGTTTTGATGACTCATTAGTTTTGATTTGATGAAGGATAAGAGTTATTCACAAAAAGGCGTGTAGCTGACCTGATTGACAGGTGGGCGTGGTGTAATGGTTTGTCAGGAGGTTTAAAACCCGCCTCAGCTCCAGCTCTCAGCCTGTCGTTAGGTTGACTGAAAGTTAGACTGAGACAGCATTTCCAGCATGGAGACCGCCATCGATGGGACTCCAGCGCCCCCTGCAGGAACAGACGGGTGACCTCACTCAGGCTTCAAACATTCATATTTACAGTCTGTGCTCATAGACTTTGTTCGTCTGTGGCTCCAAATACTGGAGCTACCTCTGGGTGTTTTCAGCTGATTGTAAAAATGTAAAAAAGGATGTACAGCTCGTATGAAAAAATTGAGATATGAAGCTTTTCAAAATACACAAAGAAAGGTCTTCATGGCAATAACTGACCACGTCTGCTCCCGTCCCCCTCCTTCAGGGTTATCAGTCTCTGCGACAGCTCGTCAAGCTGTCGAAGCTCGAGGTTCCGCAGGAGATCACCAAAGTCATCGAGCCAATCAAAGACAACGACGCCGCGATCCGGAACTACGGCATCCAGCAGGCGGTGGAGATGTGCCGCGTGCTGCTGGACAGCGGGAAGGTGCCGGGCCTCCACTTCTACACGCTGAACAGAGAGGTGGCGCCCATGGAGGTGCTGAGACAGCTGGGCCTGTGGATAGAAGACCCCCGGTGAGTCACTCGCTCCCTGTCAGCTGACTGCACGTTTGTGATTTAAGGAGGATGATCCAATGACCCATTTTTTTTAATTATCCCCCCCCCCCCCCCCCCCCAAGATTT